AAAAGCGAAACAATAACAGTTAGAGTTATGTTTTTTTATGGTCATCTTTGCTCTAATTTCTATTGTGTCAACTTTCGTCAAATAACCCATATATTCCGTTTTCTCAAGGCGAGACAAGGTTTGGTTTATGAGCATTTTTTTGGCTCAGGAAATGACATTGCCTATAGAAACATTAGGAGGCGTAGAGGCACAAATTGCATTGAACAGAGATTTGTAGAACTCTTAAAACCATTGGGCGGTAAAGTTAACCTAACAGGTTAGTGGTACCTAATAAAACTCCTGTTTGAGAGACCTCGGTGTGAGTTCCAGTATTCTGTCAACTTGTGTACTACATTTATCTGACAGCGCATAAAAGGGTTTCCTGCTCAAAGGGCTATGACAGTAAATCAGACTGTTTTTCAAAATGTCCCCTACCGTATCTGTTGTTGTCCTAGAATGTGTTCTCTGATTGCAGCTGCTTCGTTCTAGAAATGGATAGATCGCAATCTGCTGTTACTTTCGTTGGAAAAACGAGAAAAAAAAATTGTCACAGTCAGACACAGTTCAAGTAACACAGCTAAGCCATGCTCATTTTCCGGTATTTTTTTTGGTTTTGTTAACTTGGTCATGTATACTCACCTGGATTCTCAAAATGGAGACGTCACGTGGGAAGTTCCTGGTTAAAAAAGTAGTTATATGACTTAAGGTTAGAATTAAGCAAAGAGGAAATGACTATGACTGCTAATGGTTATTTCAATGCTTTTTAATCTTTGCTTCTATGGTTCAGCTGATATTTCATTTGATGATTATTAAAACATAGACAAACACTTCATGGCATTCCTTGTACCAAACAAACGATGATCGGTAACCATGTGATTTGCTTAATGCCTCACCATGGAGAAAGATGTGAACTATCCATAAGAATGAGCTTGTTGCTTTTGCTTTATTGACTGGAATAGGTCCCTTTAGAATTCATTATTCAAGGTAATCCTTATAACGTGGTCTGGTATTACTTAAGGAATATTCTCCAAGAAGGCGTGACACAAAATACGATAAGCAACTAAAAACTCACTACATCTTCGTGACATAGCGCTCGGACACAGAAAACATAACTGAGGACTTGATTCATACAGAATATCCTGTATGTCGAAAGTTCCCTAACCTCATTTGCTGTTGGGGTAGTATGTGTCTTCTTATTGTGGCTGCTCCGTCCTAAGTACAAAAAATAATTCAATCGTCCATGAGATTGTGTAGGCACTGCTGAGGAAATCATTTCTTTGTAATGTGCTTTTGATTGCACCTCTGTTATGAGCTCAAAGATGTGTATATTACTACACTGAAAACTATGAGTTTAACTCAGTTGTTAGGGTCATGATTGCCAACACCGCTATCACACTATCATACTTACATGGACTGTTAGAATGGAGACATCTGAATGGTTCCTGGAAAAGTATTACAAAACAGTGTTAGCTTTCGTTTTGTTCAGGAGTTGCGTAAAGTAATAGTGAATGAGTTTAGCTTTGAAATGTTCTACTCAAGTTATTTTCTTTTTGTTTTCCCGAATAATGATTTCGAAAGAACACAAACTCGCCGTGGTTCTATGACATCAATACATCATAAAATATTGTATTATTGGATGCAGAACGTATGGTGGGTCAAGCTTTCCAAAAAGATAAAAACTTTTGCTGCAGCAGATAACCACGAAACCTTCTGCGAGGCTCTGTAAGCTACCTAAAGGTTACCCTCCCAGTCACAGAGCCCACTCAGCAGTATGGACGACCAAGGTGTTTTAGCAGACAGCACTGCCACTCTAAAGTGCTGTTCATTTTTAGACTTTTAGATGTTACTAAAGATTCAGGGAAAATATGTTTCTTCAAGGTCAAGGCAAAGTCAGAGAATTTCAATTCGAGTCAGGGGAATTTGCATCTGATCTGTGTTAGAAGTCAGCAAAAAGTGCAGTTTCAAGGAAATATGAAGTCTTTCATCTTGTCCTGGCTCTGTTCCTGATAGCAGATGGTGACACTTTCCTTTTATGATGTCTTGTCATAGAATTTTAACCACCTAAGTCTGTGGTAACTATCACAGAGGATCACCTTTCCCTTTAGTGCTGGGAAGATCCTCACAAGACTGCTGCTCAGCCACCTAATGCCAAATACTGCAGAAAACCACCAAACTTTCATCCAATGCAGCTTTTAAGACAAAGACACCGAGAGTGTAGGAAACAACAGAAGAGGAAAAATGGTCTGTGGAGAATCTTGCAGCGAATTTGATGTCCTCAAAATTACTTGAACATGATTACTGGCTATACGGCAGCCAATTGGAGTATTGAATTTAACAGTATTCTATGCGGGCCACGATTTTTCCACTCTATATCATACCAATTGGAACATTTTCTCCTACAACACCTCCAAGCCTTCACTGAAACTTACCTGTTGGTGGTAAGAAAGGGTTTCTTTGCAGACAATGCTGCTTTTTTGGCAATTTTCCTTAATGAGACATAGCAAAGAAACCTTACACCTCACCGATTGTTTTGCTGAGGCGGCAAAGCTTCTTGGTTTAGAGATCAGCCTTTAAAAGGTAAAAGTGCTCCATTGCCAGCCCTCCCACTCTCCCAAGAAATCATCTCTGTTTGACCTGATAGCCGCACAGCAGTTCTTAGTTGCACCGTGGTGACCCAAGTAAAAAAAAACAACAACAACAAGCAAAAGAAGTGGATAACAGGCTGGTAAAAACTACCACTGTCTCATCTACTTTCAGAGAGGATCTAGGAAAACAATGATCTCAGAGCAAGCACGAGTATTGACCTTTTCTGTCAAGCTTTTCTCAACATCCCTTTTGAATAGTTCTACCAAGAATGCCTCAGGACCATTTTTGGTTTCCACTGTCACCACAACAATGACCGCGCCAAGCCACTCAGCTTGGAAGCCACGGTTGCGAGAGTACAGCTGTACTGAAAGGACCACAATGTAACATTGGAGGAAAGCGAACTGTCTAAAACCACCCTTCACAGTGAGCTAGCTTGAAGGAGGCGCAGCGTAAGTACCCTTACAAAATGCTGGAAGGATACCCTCAAGCAAACACCAAGCAACATCAGAAGCTGCAGCTCACTGTGCATCGTGGAGTCATAAGATCCTTGACAAGGAAATTGACATAGGAGGAAGAACTGACTCACTCCAAACAACCCGAACAGTCTTACAACTGTTTACCAAGGACAAAGTCTGTCACATCGAGCCCAGCATCCACATGCGAGCCTCCAAGCAATTAAATCCCTTCCTTTACTAAATCTTTGTATTTGAAATCTGGCCAAGATTATTATCATTGGTATCATTTGTGTCTCTCTCAGAGACAGTCTCACCTAAACAGTTGTGGCTGCCTTTGTTGCACGTGTCGCCTAATAAGAGCTGTTCCCTCCTATGAAGAAGAAAGATATGTTTTATCCTTGATTTATTAACTTTGTGCTGAAATTGGTGAAAATTTTTCGGAAAATGAGGCACTTCCTTCGAAAAGAAAAAATTTAATAATAGACGGGAAAGGGATTTAGCATGTTTACCTGAACGGTTAAAAGAGAGACAGCAGTACAATCCCTGAAAAAAAAAAGAGTGTTAAAGCAATTGATAGAGAAACAAATGAGGGATATGATTAATCAGATCTTTGGCTAGTTTATCCCACTGAGATAGCTTCCAGGACATCTGTGGTTTCCTTTTTTTCAAACTTGCCAGTATTTCAGTATGCTGTGATGTCTAAAAAACTGTTTTTGCATGGAAACTGTGCAAGATACACAAGGGTTACGAAGGGTCTTGAAACCTTTAGTTGAACCTATCTCCCAGAAATTTTTAAAGCTGGTCTAATAGGCCTGTGCTTCTGAGCGCAATTCTGGTTGTGAATTCCAAACAATGATAATACTCCACCTTCCTCATACTCCACCACGAAACTTCTTCTGTTAAACAAAACTTGCCAATTAAATTACTGCAGCATGCATGATTCTCTACTCGCAGTCTCCTTACCTCATCTGTTGTTGTCCATGAATGTGTCCTCTGATGGCAGCTGCTTCATTCTAGAAAGAGATAAATTGTATAATATCAATACTCTAGTCTTAGTTAAGTTTAGTTGTATAAAGAGACTTTTCCAGACTGGGCAGCTTTTTCTAAGATGTGAGGGTTAACTCGAAAATGATGAATAATGCTAACTATTTACCGATTTCAGTTGAGCTGTTATTGACCAATTTTCTGTGGGTTGAGGATGGGACGAAAAGTATTGGTTTCGATTTCACTTTCTCGAGGAGTGTAAAGAAGTTAACACGGCAAGGAACTGCATCAGTGTGAGATTAGCTGAACCAAAGGCTTTTTGAAAAGTAATAGATATATACAATGCTATCAACAAATGATTTTTGAATACTCACGTGCACTTCAAAATCGGAGACGTGACAGTAGTTCCTGGAAAAATACCAAAGAACCGGTTAAGTTTTCATGTTAAATATGAATTTTGAAAAGGGAAGATTAAGGAGTTTGATGTGGCATCTTTCCTTCGAACTCCGCCTTTTTTAACCTTGCTGATTGTGTTGCCGAGTGTAAATGCTGAATTGACTTCTAGTAGTCTTGCTCTATCGGTCAGTTTAGGTTAAGGATAACACCTTATTTAGTAATTAGTAATAGAAGTACATCTTGCAGACAACATAAAACCACTAGTTATTTCTTCTTTGCTGTGGAATTTTAACGAAATACCATATACAAGTACCAATTGAGGTTGTTTGATATTTTCGTACCTACAATTCCGTTCTGCAAGCACAAGCAGTCTGAGAACAGGGGCACAATCCTAGAGTCAAGACAGAAGTCTCTCAGTCTTAATAAAAGGGTGCATCTTGGAGGTTACAAGAAAACAGATTGTAACGATTCTATGTTGGAAATTGAGAGGCAGCAAGCTATTCAATTTATAATGTGGAATAACCGTGTTTGGTTCACAGGGTAGTTTATTTTCTCATCAGTGTCATTATTGAGCAATTGTTTGATACTCACATGTTTACTTGAAGTAGAGACGTGATGTTGGGCCCTGAAAAAATATCAGAGAAAGTGGTTAACATTGTGTATGACGTTATATTGGGCTTAGCTTTTTGAGTAGGTGAGATTTATAAGCAAACAGAAATTGTCATCAATGCTGCGTAGGTACTGGTCGAATGGTCTTGCTCTCTGGAATTAAGTTCAACAAACATTTGTCAGTTCTGACCACACAGTAGCAAAGGCAAGTGTTATGTGAAACTGACTTACTCATATCTGGGCTGGGAGATTTGTTGAAGCACGTGTCTTCTAATGGCAGTAGTCTCCCTCTGGTAGGAAAAAGACCATTTCAGTGATTAGGGTTTACAGCCGTTTAACGCTTCAAATTAACAATGTCAAGGTTAGTTGCAAAAGTCAAGGGTAGACCAGGGAGTTGCTGACATTTTTTTTGTTTAATACTCACAAGGAGGTTGGAAATCCAGAGTTGGCTCCTAGCAAGACAAAATATTCACTGTTAGTGTTGTGAAGGTACATGCTTACAACAGTTTTAGGCCTTCGTACCTCATGGAAATGCTTATTTACTACTTTTTTCAATATGCTTTGTTTATGTCATTTGGAACCCACAACCGATTAATCTGTGTTTGTACTGAAGATTAGAGGTCAATAAAACCTTCTCTCTTACATTTTGTTATCGAAATGATAGCAGCCATATTGTAAAGGCTGATTAGAAAAAAGCAACGTGTCAACCACTCTAGCTAATAATGGCTGCTTTTGCGTTTGTTTATGAACCCCCTTTCTACCTCATGACAAGCTGCTCCATCGGCAGGTGCTCTCTTCCTTCTCTGGCCTCGTACTTCTGTTAAAAAATAAACAATTAGTCTTTAAAGACGTTCTTCGACAAAAGCGTGTGAGTCACAAGCTCATGATTAGGATTGAAAGTGGGTTTTAAACTCAAATTCGTCGTCGTCTTACCTCAGCATTTTGGCCGGCGAATACATCTACACTTTCCGGCATTTTCGCGGTCTATTGTACTGGGATTTAAGGAAAGTAAAACACTATGATGGTTTGAAAAATCGAAGTGTCGTATCGTGTTTCTGAAAAACAAAAATAACCCAAAATGTCTGTTTAAATTTTCACCACACTTTCAAAGAGTGCTGGGTACCCTAATCACGTGTTTCGTTACCTTAATCGATGTTAGATCGGTTCTGTTGCTTAGAGACATCTCAAAGGCGAAGATTGACTTCGGTCGTTGGCCTCTTTGTATTAAAATCACAGATCACTCTAGGTGGATAGTCCTGGAATGTCGTTAGTTTAACAACGTCTCTTAGAAATCATGTCGGGTATTCCTTAAAGAGGCTGACAGAGGTGTCTTTCCTTACTTGTCTTTGAAGATTTTTAAAAATTGCCAAGATCGCTTGGTTGGCGTCTAGGTCATGGCTTGTTCCCCTGAGACGCGAATGTTGTTCTTTTCCTGGATCCATTTTCATCAGCATCAATACTAGACAAAACTCGCTTATTCTCGTTTCCATCCTTCTTCTGCAATGCACGTTAGAGCGAGAGAAGTTAGGAATTATTAGCCGATGCGATGTGATAAGGGCAAAATCAAATAGAAACTGTTAGCGCAACAGGATGCTCAATTGACGGTCTGGTTGAGTTTGGAATTTGATCACGGTGGGGTCTTATGATGATTCATTGTTTTTTAGGTGATGAGGTCACATCCTAGCGGAAAGATTGACAAGGATAATACTAGAAGTCTGTGTTTAGACAAGAACAACACAGCGTTGTTTTCCTTCTCTGAAATCTTAAGTTAGGAATTAAGAGTTTGTGACCTCAAAGTGAAATACATCGGTTTCCAGGCCTCACTTCAATGGTTGGATACTGAGTCATAAACGAAATGTATGAATAACAGCCTAGTCATACCCTTCACATTCGGTCTTGCATGAGTGCTTCACCTTGACCGTTTCTAAGACTGACGCTGCTAAAGCAATTATTTGACATATCAGCACGCTTGAAACTAACGACCGGACGCGCATGGTAACCTATGTTCGCTACTTAAAAATATCTCTTTGTCGGCAGTGAAAGGGAATTTTGCGGTCGCGTCGCATTACAGAGGCGTCTGTGCGTGTCATTAGAATTTCTGTCTTGACTTAGTAAATCTGTTTTGAGAAAAATTGTGATCCTTTCATCTCTTATTGACCTATAGCTTTGAATTCTTTTTCTTAATTGAAAATTAAGAAACAAGTGTGTGTTATGAAAGTGAGACCATGAAGAGTTTGGTCACGTCTAACTAGTCGTTCTTCATCATAGGTTAATTAAAGACGAAAGTTATGCTCTTCCTAGTGGTTTATCTAGAAGTTGATAGACGGCTGCTTCGGGGATGGGTCATGGCCACTTGAGATGGGTAGTTCAGTGATTTGCGCTCAAGGGAACGAACGGGTAGGATGTCAATACGGAGAAATGGACAATATGTGGAAATATGTGGAAATATGGAGAAATGTACAATATGTAGGTGGAGAAACGAAGTAACGAGAAAGAGCTTCCACCACTAAATTCGGAAATCGGCTCGGATCAATAAGTTGGTCAACTCGAAATAAAATCGCTTGCTACAAAAATCTGTTAGCATTGCCAAAGATAAGAACAACCAGCTTTATGTCCCCACCCAAGCATCTTCCCCCAATTGACTCCTTTCAATCGCTCCCAGTTATTCAACCCGATTAAAGGCCCTGTGTTCCAGTGAGTGCAGTTAAAGATGGTTTTAAAAGCATGCACTTTTGTAATAGATTTAAGGATGACTTGCTCATTAACGAGCGCAGGTGCGAAGCGCTCGTTTAAGCATTGAACACCTTCGTAAATCTTGAAGAGATTTTGATAACTTCTGTTGGATTGACCACTTTAACCTATAAAACCCCATTTAAGTTAACACAGGCCGTGTTTGATCATGGCGTGAAACTTTTTCGTTCCCATTTGTTCCGTTTGACAGAGGTGAAAGTATAGACTCATTCCTTGTTTGTTGCATAACTTCCTGTGGCCCACCACACTTTTGTTTTTGGTTAGGGTGTGCCGAAAGGGCCAGGCTTAAGAAGGTGATTCAGTTCCAAAAATAAGCAGAGCAGCCCAGATTAAAATGGATACGATATTGCATTTGCGTAATATTAACGTTTTTAATGTTCCGTCTGTTTGCAGTCTACTACTACAAGGACACAGATTAGAGTGAAGAAAACCGTCTCTCGTGGAACCCATTTTATGGAAACATTCCATGCTAGCTAAGGTACAATGCAGCTTGTTACTCAGCCTACACTAATGTTTATGCTATTTCAAACGTGACATTTCTAAGCTTTAGAGAATGTTGAGTGTAATACACATTATATCCCGATGTATTTTACGGTTATAGGATTGAATAGTCTTCAATTATACAAGTGATTAACGAACGGCCGCGAGGCGGGAGTTCTTTTTGATTAATCAAGGGAACATTAGATCGCAGACAGAAATTGACATTACCAAGACCTAATACCAATTAGTCAAAACTATGAGTTTCCAAAACGCTTAAAATTATTGAACATAAAAATAAAAAATAAAAACAAAGTAAGGACGGTTTTTTCCAATTTAAAATAAACCAAATCATCTTGGCAACTGCGAAGGTAATGGCACTCATTGTCTTACTACTTAGGCATGATGGGTCAATGTCACATTTCTCTTTTCAATTACAAACATGACGCGTAAGTTTTTACTATTGGTGCTTTAATGGAGCCGACATTTGATAACCAATCCTCTTTGGGGGTTTGGATACAATTTTGATCAATGTTATAAACACAAGGTGTCGTAACTTGATGCCCCGATAAAACTGGAGCGAAATAAGGATACATGATTTTTGCGGTTTTTTATTTCTTTATCGGACAAGATTGCTGGAACTTAATGATTACCACGCATAGATAGCTTAAGTACAATGACAATGATTTAAGCATGGTTTTGCTACTGATAGAGAATTTTTGCGCGTTAGCGGGGAGCTTATAGTCAACTTTATTGGTTATTAGCCTATGTCTTAAGACAGGTAATTTATTCCTCTTCCTTTATTTATGTATGATTCTAAAAACAACATTTTGAAATCTGTATACGAGATTGGTTGTGCTGTGTCGGCGACTTTGCGAAATACTTTATCGGAACGTAAAGTTTCGAGCGTCGGCCTTTCCCAATTGCTACGGCAGTTTATCACGTATATCAGCATATAGTTAATAATCAACTAACTCAATCCGTGCAAGCAAGTAATAATCAATCCTACATGTCATTCACGTCGGTTAGGGTGATGCGAAGTGAAGAAAATGAAGACTCTACGACACAGCTCTATTGTCACTCAGTGTGATGTTTAAAGACTTGCCTGTGAACTTATGATCAATATCTCCTGCAATCTTAGAATAGATTGTTCCCCCCCCCTCCCCCTCCTTCTTCCTAAGGTTCGCGTGGTGCTTTTGTAGACCAATTTGTTAGTTAAGCGGCGGGACTTTTCATCCTCTTTATATAATGGGTCCCGCTGTGCGTCAGTAGTTTTCAGGAAACTACATGCCTGTGGTGTAGAGAAGCTTCCTTTTCAGGAAAAATATCCAACTGGTTGTTCACTAAGCACTTAGATGCCTCGCTGGGTGTTAAGTCTCTTGTGGTTTCTGTGGTGCAGTCTTTGGCTTAACCCAAAGAATTAATTCAAAGAGTTATGTGTATTTGCGATGGTAAATTTTACAATTTTTCTCGATCTCTATGAATGTAGTGTGGACATGTATGCTCGATGTAACTTGCTCTGTTTAGCGACGCGTGTTGATAGATGTGTAACTTGATTTATGACAAGTAATGAAAAATATTGCAACGAGAAACATTTTCGGCAATTATAACTTGC